TCCAACATGAAGAAAATCCAACATGAAGAAAATCCAACTGCTCATGAACAAGTTTTGCCTGCTATCAGATATGTTTGTGAATTGGGGACAAAAGACGATTGGATGGTGGATGCACCATCAAGGAGGAAGACCCCCAGAAATTCCGCAGATCACATGGCGTCCCCATGAGGACCCGCTAAAAATCCTATGAGCATTAGTCACCGCAAACGGGAAACCACCATCTAATAACGAATGGTTGGCTGGACCAGCACAAACCAAACTGGAGAAATGGAACAACAAACGCACCTCCATCTTTGGGCGAGCGCTTGTGATAAATAATGTAGTCCTAGCCACCCTATGATATAAAGTTATTCTATGACCCCTGAGTGAAGGGGGGATCAAGGCATTGAAATAACAGCTGGCCGCTTTCCTCTGGAGAGGAGATAGCAACAATTCCCACGCCATAAGTCGAGTGGCATGGGAGTCAGTGATTCAGCCCAAGAATGGGGGAGGACTGGGAATTGTGGACCCGACCACACAATTCCAAGCCCTTACGCTTCGCTGGCTTCAACATATTATTTTCTCTACATCATCCCCCTGGGTCCCCTTGACTCTGGCACAAATTTCGAATTTGGCCCCAGAATCCCCACCTGAGATTGACCCTAGAGTATGGCTAGAGGACAGGTACTGGAGGTTGCCAAGAAAGTATAGGAATGGGGACCCTTCTGACAAACAATGGGTGCGCCTCATACGCACTTGGAGGAAACTCCCCCCTCCACTTCGATCAACACCAGAGAGGTGGGAAGAGATATTCAGGCAACCCCTTTTTGGTAACCACCTAATAACAGATTCTGGAGAGCGCGTGCGAAACAGCTGGGAGGCTCCATGGAAAGGTTGGGTAAAACATGGGGCCCGGAGGGTCAGGGATCTTTGGGATAGAGAGGCCGGTAATTGGAAGAGCATAGAAAGGATGCGTACATGGCTGCGGTACTGCCATCTCACTGAGAAAGCATTCAACGATCTCATCGAGAGCTTCCCTCTCCATTGGTTCACCACCCTCAGGAAAGGCCCATGTTTAAAGGAAGGGGACTGGGTGGGGTTACCCGACCATGAGAAAGAAGTGGGGCGTGTGCACCTTACAGGTCCTAAAAATGCACTAATAGAAATCTTCTCCATCCAAAAAGAGGGTAGACTGGAATGGAATCAACAACTCTTTGTATGGAAGGACCAAAATGAGGTGTATCGTCTCAGGGTGCTTGAGGAGGATTGCTGTCCGAAGGTGTATTGCCCTATGACCCCAATTGAGGATCTCCGCCTAGATTCGACGGAAAGGCGATGGAGCCAAGGTAACCCGGTCGGGAAAGGAGAGGACAACTTATTGACAGTACACAATCTAAAAACTAAATCAACCTACCGAATGTTCAGACCCAAATGCAGATTGCGGGACCGTGCGGAGGACAGATGGTATCACCATCTTAACATAGACCGTAGTCTGCTTAAACCCATTCGATGGTTCGCTCACCATAGATGCAGACCCGCCAAAATCTCGGCCCTCCAATGGCAAATCGAACATAGGTGCCTACCAACCAATGATTGGTTGATAGACCACACACGTTTGGAACAGCAAGGGAGAGCACTACCATGGTGTCACAAATGTTGTCAGAGCTTCCCTGGGACGAAGCGGGCGGAGACTATAGAACATATTTTTCTCCAGTGCCCTGCGTCAGTGCTAATGTGGAGAAGCTGGGATAGAATTTGGCGCCACATTGTTCCCAGCGAGACGTGGCCACGGGATTGGAGGGCCATACTCTTCGGACACTACCCCCCAATCCTGGGAAACACATTTGTAGAAAATATGTTCAGACTGGGCAGGCGGAGTGTCTTGGAGATAGAGGGGGCGCAGGTGGAGGACGGAGAAGTCATGGAACAAGTACGAACATTGGTCCAATGTGAAATTGAAACACAATGGAAGGCAGTTAAAAACAAGCTCGACCAGTCATATACCTGGGGGGACATGAACAAGACCATCTCCCACTTTAGTAAGGACTGGCTGGGGGGGGCTAGGGAAGGCTGGGTGGCAGAGATAAAGTGGTCCGGATTCAACCAGAGGGACGAACCCCGGGAGGGAATGACAAGGGACTACCGGCTTATTTTCTACGATTGGACCAAAATTGATCCGGGAGTCCCATTACGGCCAGCCCAGGACTTCGCAGATCCCTTCCCCCCCCACCCGTTGTCCTTCGTGGAAGTACTGCCAACGGCATGAACCGGGACGACAGGACGGCAGTACACATAATTCGGATACATTCGGATACATTCCCTCTGTATTCCATTCATTCAGTTTATTCAGTTCATTCAGTTCATTCAGTTCATTCAGTCCATTCAGTTCATTCAGTTCATTCAGTTCAGAGCAGTTTCCGTTTCTTTTTTGTTTCCTTTCTGCTTCTTTTCAGTCTCTTTTCAGATTCACCTTCAGCCACTTTCAGACCATTTTAGATCACCACCCTCAGAGGGCTTAGGAAGGTTCTGGAAGGTTCAGAAGGCTCAGAAGGTTCAGAAAAGTTCAGAAAGGTTTAGAAAGGTTCAGAAAGGATCAGAAAGAGTCAGAAAGGTTCAGATAGGTTCAGAAGGATTCAGAAAGGATTCAGAATGGTTCATAATAGGTTTAGAAAGGTTCAGAAATGCTCACAAGGATAAGAAGGATGAGTAGGGCTCAGGAAGGCTCAAGAGATAGCATGGGATAGCACGATAGGATGACCAGAAAGGTGGGCTGAGGAACAGAAAGGAACTGCTGGTGCCCCCCAGCAGTCCTGCTGGGCCTCGCTGGGATGCTGGACCCGTTTTCCAGCTGGAAGGGGGACTAGGGAACAGGCAGGGACCACTGGGGCCCCCTAGTGGCCCTGCTGGGCCCCAGGCCAAGGGGTTGTTTGAGTAGGATAGAATACATAGCAATGGGACGCTGGACCCGGTTTCCAGCATGCTATCGCACGATGCCTCATGTTTTTTTCTTCAAATGTAAGGGACGCTGGACCCGGTTTCCAGCAGGTGATGCTCCCCACCAATAGATGGAGCCTGCCTGGGGGTGCTAGCGGTGTCTGTTCATATCAGCACCCCTAGCACCACCCAGGGCGAGTGTAAAAAAAAAATAAAAAAAATGGAGGTTTCTTCCCAAGTCTTGTATCCAAGTGAAACTTGCCCTGGGAAGGTCTAGCGTTTGCTGAGATTTATCCCAGGATTCCTTGGTTTTCAAAATAAGCTCGTTGTCTCTAGACTTAAGTCTGTATCCCAGTGAAACCGAGTAGTCCAGAATTTTGACGACCGGTTGTTCCTTGGTGACATATCTCCATCCTGAGGCTGCGGGGTCTACTTTGCATCGTAGCAGTGGAGTGCCATTCAGCAATGGGTAGAAATGTGAGATATTCTTTGTTGGTGTTTCCTCCACTTTCTCTTAAACCATGATCTGTGAGACCTCATTTGAAGATAGGGTGAGGAGGTTTTCCTCTTTCTGCAGCTCTTTTCTGCTCTGTTTACACTCTGAGCACACCAATTGGTTGTCCTCAAGCAATGATTCTATTCTGAGGATACTTCCACCTGATGGGTGGTCCGTTACCCAGGTCTTTTCAGGGAAGGGTTGCTGGGTTAAAAGATTCAGACAGTCTTGCGGAACTAACCACTGGATGAGCAGCAAACAGTCTGGGCTGTTGTGTGTATCTTGTAGAGTCTCTCTCAGATCCCTCCAGCTTTTCCAAGTCTTCTGGTCTTGATCCCAAATGTGTCTAATGCAGTACACCCCTCTGCGGATCCAAGATCCCGAATCCCCCTTCCTTTTCTGTTACCCTGAGAGTCGAACCTGATTGGGTTCTTATCCATGTGTTCTCAAAGATGGGTTGCATCAGCACCTCATCCCTATTTTGGAGACTTTCAATCCTAGTGGGGATCATCGATTTCCATGCCTGGATGATGGGTTTCCAGATGGTGGATTGGATCTTCTTATTGAGCATGTGCCTCATAGAAAGACATTCCCATACGTCTGATGGGTTATCTAAACCCCATTCTTCTACAAGGATGGTCTCCATTCAGGTGGTCCAGGGTTTTGGGTCTGGATCAAGCAGTCCCCGAATTACCCATTTGGCTAATAAGGCCTGGTTTTGGGTGACCGGGTCGAGTAAACCCAGCCCACCATCATTCTTCTTCTGTGTGATTCCACCAAGCCACTTTGGGGAGGAATCCACTGCATGCCACTGAGCCTCTCCAAAGATATTTAGAGACCTGTTTCTTGATTTTTTTAGCTGTGTTCTGATCAATTGCTCGAAAAGCTAGCACATACCAAATCGACCAAATCGTCGATAGGACCATGACATTGATAATCAGTGCACTACCTTGATAATCAGTGCACTACCGAATAGAGAGACTGACCAGATTTTCGACCAGGTCGCCAGTCTATCATTGATCTTGTCCTCTATTAGTTGGTTGTGTTTGGCATTACAATCCTCGTAGGAGATCTCTATACCCAGAAATCTTTCAGAAGTGCGGCTATTTCTGACTTCCATCCCCGAATCAATTGCCAATAGGGCATTGTCCTTTGTAAGGACTACTGATTTGCTGCGACTTACCTTGGCTTTTGATGCTTTCTCAAATGTCTGCAGACAATTAGCCACTTCCTGTAGAGACGATGCTGTGTTGTCTGATATGATAGACAGATCATCAGCCAAACCTGATGTCTTGACTTCCAATGTGGGACTGACTCTCAAGCCATGAATGATGGGGGATTCTCTTATCATCTTCAAGAGGACTTCTTGTTGGAGGACATAGAGCAAGGGATCCACTTCGCTAGTGGGACCTACCCCCCGAAAGGGCAGGCAGCTGGAGCCCCACGAATTCTTACGGCACGAGCGCCGTTTCGGGGAATTCCTCGAAGACCCCTGCAGTGGAGCACAACCCTTGGCCCCTGCGCAAGGATGACACGCATAAATCGAGTCGAGAAAATGGGGTTACCGGGACCCTGCCCCGGATAAGTGACAGCCCCCGTCGACGTCGGATCGAGCGCCACGAAGCGCCGCCCTCCTCCATGCTGTAGCGAGCCGAGGAGGCCGGAGGCTGAGCAGGAATGAGGATGGGGGCCGGAAGAGGAGGGGGAGGAGAGAGGAGCTACCGGTAGGGAGAGAACCGGAGAGAGGAGCTACAGGTAGGGAAGAAGAGGAGGATGGGGCTGGCTGGCTCCGGCGGCGACGATGAGGTACGTGTCACGCAACTGGAGAAAAACCGCAGGGAGAAAAACCATCGACAGAGAAGAATTACAATATAGCAGAACGAAAGAGCAAATTTCAGGAAAATATATTACTGAGTAATTAAGAAAATGAAAGCGGAGTGGTAGTAGGAGGGATCGTAGCAGCAGCAGCAGCAGCAGCAGCAGGAGGAGGAGGAGGAGGAGGAGGAGGAGGAGGAGGAAGATGACTGAGAAGAGGAGGGAGAAAAATGGGGGCACCTCGGCCCTCGTGGTTGAATGCACAGATATGTACCTGTTGGCAGCCGGAAAGTAATCATGGGATCAAGCTCTGATCCATTTTTTTTCTACCTTAACACCCCCTTTAAAACCCTAAAGCGGAAAGGAAAAGTGATGGTTGTTGCTGTCACCAGATAATCGCCCCCACGCCGGGCGCTCTTCGTCATCGTCGTCCCCGTCCTTCTTCACTTTCCGAAGTTGCCAGCATGCCTCTCTCTTTCTCACGGTGTATTCGCACTGCGACTTTTTGGACTGATCTCTGGCCGCAATTACGATCAGATACAGCCATGGCCCACCGTACTTGCGGTCAGATACATCCAACAAAGGCCTAGCGCGAGTATAAACTCAAACGTAGTTGCTTTCATGAGGAGGGGAGAGATCGGAAAACAAGGTGTCGAAAGTTAACCCTCTGCTCCTCCTCCTCCTCCTCCTCCTCCTTTCCCTATGATCAAATTAAGTCCACAAAGGGCCCGCCATCTCCTCTACCGACTCCTCTCTCGCATCTCTCTTCTCCTCCTCCTCCTCCTCCTCTCCCTAATCTTCCTCTTCCTCCTGTTCATCATTCACTCTTCCTCGCTCCCGATTCCCCATCTCCTAGACATCCGACCTCGGAGGGACACCGCGTGTGTTGTTGTCATCAAATCAATACTGATGCAGTGGCTGCCACAATAGTAGAATATTCTAAAGCACGCGCTTTTTCACTAATTGTGCTCCGGTCGAACGCTTCTGATGCGACTCCGTGCGACCCCCGTGCAGCCCCCGTGCGACTCCGTGCGACCCCGTGCGACCCCCATGCGACCCCCGTGCAGCCACCGTGCGAACGAACGCCCGTCAGAGTTCAAGATCTCTTCTTCGATCATGCTTCAGCTTCGCAGAACAAACGGTAAACTTGATTCTCGTGCGAACCGCCGTCGCAGACACAGAGAGAGAGAGAGAGAGAGAGAGAGAGAGAGAGAGAGAGAGAGAGAGAGAGAGAGAGAGAGAGATGTATCTGGACCTGAAAATGGTCAGTATGCACACGAAAGGCTCGATCATTTCGAATGTATTTGGTCGATTTCGCAGACCAGATACGTGTTGGACGGAGAGTAGTTTCTGTTTTTCCCTCAATTTGGACTGTGTCTGCATCTATGCCGGTCATCCTTTCACAGGGGCGATGGTAATCTTCTCTGTATCGCTCCCAATTCGACGGAGGTCTGGACATCCCGGATGGGCCCTTGCTCCACTGCTCTACGTTCGAAATGTATCTGGATCTGGAAATTGTCCTTATGCATTCCAGATGGAGTGAACGGAACGAGGCCGGATGTTTTTTTTTGTTTTTTTGGGCGTCTCCATCTACGCCTGTCATCCTTCAGCACAAGGGCCTCAATAATTTGGGCAGGAGGAGCGGAAGGAACGCGGTGAAGAAGACGAGAGGGAGGACAGGCAGTGAAGCAGGACGACTACGACCACCGTGGAG